TTGGGAGTTGTACAAGTATTGACTTTAGATTTTTTTTTTATGTGTGTGCATGTTCTGCCTATATGTATGTATATGCGCCATATGTGTATCTGGTTCCCCTAAGAGGTCAGAGGGTGTCAAGTCCTCTGGAACTGGTTGTAAACCACCATTTATTTGGGTGACAGGAATGGAACCAAGGTCCTCTACGAGAACAAGTGCTCTTAACAGTTGAGTTGTCTTTCCAGCCCCCAGGGCAATTGACTTTTTGGTTTTTCGTGCGACAGGGTTTCTCTGTGTAGTTTTGATGCCTGTCCTGGATCTCACTCTGTAGACCAGGAAGGCTCTGCCTCCCGAGTGCTGGGACTAAAGGTGTGCGCCACCACACCTTCTAAAGGGTTTGAAGTAAATTGCAGCCCTCTTGGAGGATTAAAAAGCAGTGGTATGGATTCGTGAGAAAATTCACCTGTTTGAACTAAGGCTGATTTTCGTCATTAATGCCGTAAATTCCTCAACAAGGTTTGTTGGCTGGTCAGGAAGTGAAGCTGCCTCAATGAAGGCACCCTTTCCTCCTCTGGGAAGACGGATGTGTGGAGGGAGGGGCTGAAGGAATGAAATCAGTTCATCTGCTGACCTTACTCTGTGTGGAGACTGCCGTTGCCCTGAGTGCCACCACCCCCGCAAGACTGCCTGTAAAGTAGATTCTCCAGAGTACTGCTACTGCTTGTCCTCTTTCATCCCCGTAGTGTTTTCCCTGCAGGGGTCTTTGACTCCTGGCTTCCTGTAGATCAGAGGTTCTGAACCTGTGGGTTGTGACCACTTAGGATTTCAGTCCAACCCTTCCACAGGAAAACACAGATATTTGCGTTATGATTCATAACAGTTGCAAAATTATAGTTATGAAATAGCAACGAAATAATGTTATGGTTGGGGATCATTACAACATGAGGAGCTGTGGTAAAGGGTCGCAGCGTTAGGAAGGGTGAGAACCTCTGATCTAGAGCCTCTAAGGGATAAAAAAAAAAATGTGTGGCATACCATGGTGGCACACATCCTAAATGTCAGTAATTGGAAGGCAGAGACAGAGGGATCTCTGCTTTCTATACATAGAAGATTTTAGGTCGAGCAAGGCTAAATAATGAGACCTTTTCTAAAAATGAAATAAAATTTGTACCTAACAGCTGCATTTATGCAGCTGCTAAAATTTAAAGTAACTAGTATATCACTTCATTTTTTGGTAATAGTCTATTGAGATGAATTATAGCAACAGTTAAAAGACATTACTGTCCATGATTTAAGAATCTTGGCCTAAAGTCTCCACGGGCCTCAGTAAGAAAATACTAACAATGTGCATAGGTTTTCTTTTCGTGGAAGGGGTAGTGAGAACCCCTACTCCAAGTAAAGTCAGCTATCTTGCATCCTTGGTTTTCTCCAAATGTTTTTGGCCTAAGGGACAGGAAGGCACTCACTAATTGAACGGCTTTAATAATGATAGTGTTCTAGGATATGCCTTATTTAGTCTCAGGGGTGACGAGCTCCAAAGCTGGGGAATCATATGTTGGCGACTGTCTTACCTACTGAAGTTCTTTGTGAACAAGGTAGGACTATCTTACAGGGCTGCTGCACTCAGCCCCGGATCAGAGTTAGTATCTGCTGGCCTTTGATGTTTTCAGTAACACCCTCATGCTATCCTATGCTTCCTCCGGGAAGTCTGATCTAGGCTTCCAAACACATCCCAACCTTTTGGCTCCCACTGTAATCTTGACACTTAAAAGATGTTTTGAAACTAGTCTACTTTCTACTTAATAAGGTATTCTGTCTCCTAACAAGCAAACACTATATTCCTGCTTGCCTCTTTAACCTAATAGTGAAATGTAAACTTCTGGGGCAAGTAGTATATATAGCTCCGTTGGTTGAGTGCTTGCCTATCGTATACAAAGCCATGAGCATAAACTGGACATGGTGTTGCACGTCTGTAATCCCAGAACTGAGGAAGTCATCTTAGGATGTGTGAGACACTCTCAAAAAAAGAGTAAAACCTTTTCTGTTTCAATAACTATAGTACTCTTTCCACTGCTACATTGTTGTCCATTGCATGGATATGTTATGTACTATTTATCAAGCTCATTTTCCTCGGACATATAAGTTTTTTTGTTGTTGTTTTGTGGTTTTTCGAGACAAGGTTTCTCCGTGTACTTTTGGTGCCTGTCCTGGATCTCGCTCTGTAGACTAGGCTGGCCTCGAACTCACAGAGATCCTCCTGGCTCTGCCTCCTGAGTGCTACGATTAAAGGCATGTGCCACCGCCGCCGCCTGGCTAAGTTATTTTTATATATCTTTTACAAATAACGTAGGAGTGCATGTATCCTCTCTTATGACTTGGGAGGAAGAATTTACAGTAGGATTGGTAGCTTTTTTTTTGTCACCTTTTATGTAGAGGCCAGAAAGTGTAGAAGCCAGAATGACTGTCTACAAACTTTCAAAATGTTTTGCAACTGGGGCTTGTTGGGTTTTGTGAATCCA